GTGTGTGTGTGTGTGTGTCTGTCTGTGTGTGTCTAGTAAGAGTAGTACCTGTGTGTGTGTGTGTGTGTCTGCATTGCTGCTGTGAAACATAGCCCTGGGGATTAAAAATAACAACAGCCGGTCTGCAGGACGCCATGAGAGTCGCTCTGCGTCAGACGAGTGTCTCCAGCAGCAACAACATGCTACACTATAACACATGTCAATATAAATACACATGATATGGGAACTATTTATTAGCACAGCTTCTTAGCATTTACCAGAGTTAGCTTGAAGCACAGCTGTAGTCCTCAGGCTGGAAGCAGTGAATAACAACACTGTTAAGTTATAAACATTAGTGTAAATAACAAGAGAGGACATTCAACAACAATAACAAGAGTTTACAACACTAAAACACATCAAGTCTTTGTGTTTATATGTTATTGCAACACAGTCTCACGGCATTTCGTGTTATAGTCACGAAATTAATCTATTGATTCGTGTTCACCAACACGATTTCGCCATTTTTTTCGTGTCACACAGAACGATTTTAGAAGCAATGTATTTATATTGGTAGTATGTTTCGTGCCTGCACCAAATAATAACAAATTAGAAGGAAAAAAAGATGACATAAAATACAGATGTCAGTATTCTGAGGCTCTGAGACATTTCTTTTCATCACTGACGGCAACAAAACTCAGACATTATACAATTTAAAATAAAGGGATAGGGTTAGGCTTAGGGTAAGATATTGAGTAAGAACATGTGTTTATGAACCACACAGCTTCTGGTCTTCCAAGACCCGACCGGACAAAAAGACGTGTTGCAGGCACGAAACATACTACCAATAGAAATACATTGCTTTTCAAATCGTTCTGTGTGACACGAAAAAAAGGTGAAAATCGTGTTGGTGAACACGAATCAATAGATTAAATTAATTTCGTGACTAATAACACAAAATGCCGTGAGACTGGGTTGGTTATAGATAGATACATGATTTTAGCCAACATTAGCCTCCTTTAGCTTAGCGGTGGTGACATGAAGTCATGTGACCGTGCTGTAGTTCCTTTATAGCCCAACATTAGCCACCTTTAGCTTAGCGGTGGTGACGTGAAGTCATGTGACCGTGCTGTAGTTCCTTTATAGCCCAACGTTAGCCACCTTTAGCTTAGCGGTGGTGACGTGAAGTCATGTGACCGTGCTGTAGTTCCTTTATAGCCCAACGTTAGCCACCTTTAGCTTAGCGGTGTTGACGTGAAGTCATGTGACCGTGCTGTAGTTCCTTTATAGCCCAACATTAGCCTCCTTTAGCTTAGCGGTGGTGACGTGAAGTCATGTGACCGTGCTGTAGTTCCTTTATAGCCCAGCATTAGCCTCCTTTAGCTTAGCGGTGGTGACGTGAAGTCATGTGACCGTGCTGTAGTTTTTTTTATAGCTCAACATTGAACTCGTGTTTTTAAGTGAACAGGGCTTTGAGTGATTTTTTGAATGATGTTAACACCAGCCTCTCTCTGTGTTTCAGGATGCAGGACGGGAGCTGGAACCCGCCCGAGGCGTCCTCTGAGGGGGGGGGGCCCGCACCTGGACCCAGAGCTGGAGGGGGGGTTCGCTGACCTCACGGCCTTCCTGAGTGCAGAGGAGATCCACCGCAGCCTGGACCTGGCCCTGGAGGCCTTCGGGGGAACATTAGAGGACCCAGAATCCTCCAAAACTGCTGAAAACCCCCAAACTAAAGCTTCCTCTCCATCTGAAGGTGATGGTGCAGCATCTGAAGCCCCGCCCCTCATTAAACACACGTCCAGAGAGGTGGAGAAGCCCACCCCCCGTCTCAAACCCTTGCCCCCCGTCTATAAACAGGATAAGCCCCGCCTCCTTCATGAAGGTCTGGAGCTAAACGACCGCGCGGCGTCGACATCAGAGTTCTGCAGCCGCGCCGCCACCTTCATCGAGGAGCTGTCCTCCATCTTCAGAGGCTCCGCCCACCAGGAGGACGACGCCTCCTCTCCGGACAGCGGGTACCTGACCCCCCACGGACAAAAACAGACAACCGCTCCTCCTCAAAACCCCCGCCTGGAGGAGGAGGAGGAGGAGCATCACCAGGAGGAGGAGACGGCAAAAGTACACACATCCTTTACTCAAGTAGAAGTACAGATACTCTTTGTTAGAAACATCTCCCTGGTCCCCGGCTTGAGCTTCAATCTCAGGATCCATGTATCTCTGATCCTCTCCAGAATGGAAGTAGTCATCACATACAGAGCATCAACTAGTTCCTGAACAGTGTCCTTCACATGCTGATATCCAAGAGAGGGAGTTACACAGTCACAAGATGGAGGAATAGAAAGCAGTATTCAATGTTTACTTCAGATTAGCTCCACGTCAGAAATGAGCATGCTTGTCATATGTCTATCTCCATAGAGGCTGAATCATCATGTTAATCACATAGCTATCATATGCCTCAAACAGTCCTGATGCTCTTCTAGGTAATCACACATCCTGTCATGTTCACAGCTACAGTTGGGATACCTTTGTTATCATGTTACTCTCATGTTGGAAGAGGACATTCAGGATTCTCCCAACACTCGTGTTTAAAAATACTCAAAGTAGAAGTACTGACTAAACTTCTTCACTCAAGTAAAAGAAAAGAAGTATGAGCTTCGTAATGTATACTTTTTAGCATCCAGGAAGCTTTGACTCTCATATGAAACTTTACGTTGATATGTTGGAGTCAAACATCTGGTGATCGGGGCTGAGGCATGAACTGAGCACCTGTCTGATAATCTCCTACTCCCCTTTCCTTACTGCTGGAGATTACTGTTGTTTTAGTGAAGAAGTCATCCAATCATTTGCCTTCCCACCGTTCTGTGATTTCCTGCTGCACACGTTGGAGGAACAGCAAAAGCAAAAATGAAGTCTTTATTACTTAAGTCCAGTAACAACGTGTTTGCCACTTCTTCCCACCAGCAGGAGGAGGAGCATCCCAGCGAGCCAGCAGGGGGTCCTGACGCTCCTCCAGTGTACCACCACCACCACCTCCATCACCCCCCCCTCTGCTGCTCCATCTCAGATCCCGCTGACCCCCCCCTGTTTCCTGCAGAAACTGAAGAGCCAGGAGGTGGCCGAGGGGAGCCCCATCCGTCTGGAGTGCAGAGTCACAGGAAACCCCCCCCCTCTCGTCAGGTAGGGGCTTTTTATATAACGTCTTTTCAGTGTTTGTGTCACTTTGTCCTCCATCCCTTCCTCCATCCCTTTATCACTCACTCCATGACTCCCCAGACATCAGAGTCCTCAGACGCTAAGATAGGGGCTTTCTTTTTATATATACGGTCCTTTCAGTGTTTGAGTAGGAGGGTTTGAGCTCCTGAAAGCTTTGTGATTTACGAGGGGAAGCATCAAGCCATAACTGAATAGACATGGATCATTGAGAGTGCTTACATTCATATCTGTTCTGTTATAAGTTCCTGAGATCTCTTTATCGCCACGTTAGTTAATAGTCTTTGCTCCGCTGTGTGCGCACGGCTCCTGTGGCTCAGACATTTGAGCAAATACAGCAAGGATTGAAGACCTTGTTTTGTTCAGCTGATGCTGGTAGTCTCTGAGGAGTGAGTTCCTCATGCTCACCACTCAGACTGGGTTCTCCTGACAGTGCAGACTCAGAGCTGAAGATCAACAGAAAGGATTGTGATTCATGAGACTAGGGCTGTGCAATTAATCGTATTTTAATCGCAATCACGATTTTGGCCTGCCACAATTACGAAAACAACATAATCGAAAAACAATTATTTTGCTTTGCTAGGTTGTGATATTTGATCTAATTAATTTTGGTCTCATTTATTTGTATTTATCATATTTATCATATGTTTAGTAGCTTGTGGAAGTGTGCTCCAAAATATTTGTTGATCTTGTTTATTGGTATTTATTATTTTGATATTATTTATTTAAATGTATCATTTATTTTTGTATTGGTTTTTCAGTTGAATTATACGTTCAGGGTAATCAACAGTTAAAAAGATACTGTTCAAATTATTATCTGTATTTGTTTTAAAGTTCAATAAATGGATGTTTTCAAAGTCAATGAATAATCGTATTTAATAATCGTGATATCAATTATTGACCCAAATAATCGTGATTATGATTTTTGCCATAATCGCACAGCCCTACATGAGACAGGGCATGAAGACCCTCAATCAGAGTCAGGGGAAATGTTCAGTGAAAAACGCAAACAATAATAAAAAACGCCGATACGTTTGAAGACGCAAAGTACGATAAATAAGAAGATCGAAAAGTAGAAACTCTTCAGCGCTGAGTAGCAGCTGCTGTTGAAGCCGTCGGAAGAAGAAGAAAGTATAGATATAATCAGTGAGATCTTTAAATGATTCCTGAAACAAACCGAGAGCCAGAGGACATGCAGCGTGGATCATTTATCTTGGTGGAAGAAGATCTTGACTCTTCATCATTGCTCTAGTTTGGAAACATGTCATATATTTTCGGTGGGAACACGTGGATATCCAGCCGATTAGGCCACTCCCACATCTCTATAAAGAGCCCGCTGCCTCCCTCTCCTGCTCAGTCCTCTGTGACGCTGCACTGAGCACACACATAGCTGGGAAGAAAAAGAACAGGCAACATGATTACAAATACACAATGCACTGATCATTCTCTGCAGGACCCACCTTCAGGGAGAATGTCTAGTGATGGGTTCATTCAATGATCTGATGAACCACTACTGATGATGTGTATAATGTAAGGCAGGTTGTATGTACGACTAAACTAAAAACAACTTTGACGGCACAGGAAGCCCCAACTTTAACACCGATGGCGGTCCCCGGATGGCCAGAGCTCTACGTGTAATCAGATTCTGGTTATCGGATTCTTTCCCCCAACCTAACCCTAACCCTAACAGCTGCTTCCATGATGAATGTCTCATGCTGATGTTAATAGAACGAACGAGAGAAAATACATATTTAGTCTGTATATCGTTGGGTATTATACTGTACCATCCTCTGATTGATGCATCTGAGATGAAAGGACACGGGTCATAGGAAATGCTTAAACTTATATATTTTGTGCAAGAATACAAATTCAAGTTCCTGTGGTTTTTGTTTTTCTTAGTAAATAGTCTTTGTTCCGCTGTCATGTAAAGCTGCTGCGGTTCAGAGATCAACTGTCATTTTAGATTTGATGTAATTTGAGTAAATATATCACAGCAAACATTGAACACGTTGTTTTTTTATGCAGCTGATGCTGGCAGTATCTGAGCCGTCTCTTCTCGGTTGAGTTTCACATGTTCACCATACAGACTGGGTTCTCCAGACTAAGCCCATGAGCTGAAGATCCACAGAGCATTTCAATAATCTGCAAACCGACGGGAGGATAGTTGGATGGCTGGAGGATGCAGGAGACACTCTGTATTGAGAAGGTTGTTGGGAGATTTAGGCCCCGCTCACACGGGACCGTTTGCGTTTATGCACAGTATGCGTATTCAAAAAAGTCTTCCGTTCACATGCATTTGTTTCATTTAACGTGTCTGTTTAAACGAGGCCGCTGGAAACGCTGTAGTACATATGCTGGGACTGTAAGTGGCGCTGTAACTTCCGCCAAAATACACCAAAAGCCGCGAAGAAGAGCAGGCTGGAGCAGCCCCGCAGCAATGTTGCCATGGCTACCCTTCTGTTTAAGCCCTGAAACTGAAACTGAAAGAAACTGAAAGAAACCGAATCTGTTGTTGCTGATGGTTGTGGTAGAGGAGCTGTATATTTTTGCACTAATATCTGTAGCATGGTCAGTAGCAGTAGCACTAGCAGTAGCTACTGACAGGAGGAAGTCAGTGTGTGTGGCGATTGCTGGTATTCAGCGGGATATAGTCATTTCCTCAGCATATGGATAAATGCAACGGGGAAGTTAACTGAAAGAAACCAAGAAACCGAATCTGTGGATATTGCATCGAGAGGACGGCTCAGAAAGAGAGATATTCTCTACAAACACCGGGTGAGATGCACCTTTGTCAATATAATGGATCAATGCATGAAATCTGACTCTGTTTATTTTGTTTAAGGAGTATATTGGGCGTTAACAATTCTGGTTTGCCTTTTATAATATTATTTCATTCAAGAACCCCTTGTGCGTTTAATTAACACAGCTATTTTTGATAGTTGCTACAGCAGTGAGCAGGAGAGGTGGGGAGAGGCGGGGCTATCCTATTTTTCCAGGAAATATTCGTATAGAGGTGATTACACGGACTCGGTTGACCCCCCAGAGCGTTTCGTTTGCAAATCTATCCACCTTGGGACCCGTTATTGTTTGTGGGGTCAGTTTCTATCGGCCTCGTGTAAATAATAGGGCTATACGCACGCGAAACTATGCAGATACAAGCAGTTTTCTCCTCGTGTAAACGGCGCCTTAGAGAAAGGCAGATAAAGTGGGATTGTTAGCTTCTGCTAGTTGTCGTTGTTCCAGAGATGAACCTTGGTCTGTGTCTGTGTGATCTCTGCATGTGATGTGCAGAGATCACACAGACACAGAAGGTGAACCCTGTGAGAGGCTCTGGCTGGTTTCACACTATCTTCCATTTCCACTTTCCTGGACACTTTAATGGCTCCAACGTTAGAATATGTCCTGGTTGATTTGGTGAGATCATATTTCAATCCGGCTGTGTGTTGGTGAGAATCTGCTGACATGATGCGTACCACTACCATGATACATGCAACACTTTCAGCATTAAATGTGAGTTAGAAAGGAAGCTTTGTCTCTCATATGAAACTTTACGTTGTTATGTTGGAGTCAAACATGTAGTGATCGGGGCTGAGGCATGAACTGAGCACCTGTCTGTTAACACAACATGTCAAATCTACAGTATCACAAAACAAGTTTGGATCATTTCCTACTCCCCTTTTCTTACTGGTGGAGACTGCTGTTGTTTTAGTGAAGAGGTCAGCCAATCATTTGCCTTTCCATCATTCTGTGATTTCCTGCTGCACACGTCATGAGTCTGTGACCGTGGAAAGTCACTTTGCTGAGCAGCTCATCATCCCACAGAAAGAAACCCCTCCTTGTGATGCGTTAGCTGCTGAAATATGACCTGATGTGGGGCCAAAAAGAAGCTGATAGCGCTCAATGTACAATAAACACATTGCATATCCTGTAATCATAAAAGTCAATGAAGTGCTTTTATTAATTGTGCAAAGCAGCAGTAGTGAATGTTCAGTTTGCATCAGCAGAAATATGTTTTGGACAGGTTAAGTTTGTAATACAGAAAAATATACATTTTGTAAAATAAAAGCCTTCATTATTAAAAATAAAATGGGCAGGTTAATTTATAAATAAATAAATATGCACAGAAATAGAAACATGTATTTATTTAGTTGTATGTATAACGATGGCAGCTCTGGTCCTCCATATGCATGGTGCAGGAATGTGCTGACCCTCAGTGTGAACAGAGCTGTGTCAGTGATGTTGACCAGCTGTAGAGATAAGGTGATGCAGGGGGGGGGGGGGGTTAGTGGCGTGTTGACGGGCAAGGCACCTGGCTTCAGATTAACAGGGAACTCCACTCTGATACCTGTGCAGGTGAACAAATACCAGGAGGAGCTGTTGATGTCATTTTATTATTCAAACACAATTACGTCTGCTTGATTCAGGAGGAGGTAGAGATCTTAGAAAGTGGGTCAATAAAATCTTAACTGCCTAAATGCTTAGATTAGACAAAGAGAAAGTGAAATGAAATCCGTCTTTTTGTTATTTAAGTGAAGTTCCACTTTGTAAACATTGATTTCTAGGAAAATATCAAGTGTTTTCCTGCTGAATCACTCTGAGGCCTGTACTACGAAGCCGGATGTTCTCTGAGCTGACTTCAGGGAAAACTCGGGCTTTCCGGTCCTACGACGCTGGTTCTCTTTTTAGCGAGCTAGATCTCCATGGTAACTTATGCTGAGCGGCTAGCCTCCTCGGGAGCAGGTTAGGTTGCAGGCTAAGAGATCAACTCAGTGAAAGCACCGCCTGCTGACCAATCAGAGCTCCGTGTGCGGAGTTTAAAGCGATCAAGTCATATTACAGGATAGAGGAAATACAGAAAAACTGCCGTTGCAGGAAAGACGGCCGGCAAAAATCAACTGACTGTGTGAACGTGAACATTAATAGAATATCCCCTCCCATCTTCAGAGCAATCTGACTATTATAATATT